TCTTAGTATGTTTATTCACGTCTCCTCCAGATGGTCCACAGCGTCCCTCTGTGTCAGTGAGTCCCTCTGCTGAGATGCTGGAGGGCGATTCAGTGACTCTGACCTGTAGCACTGATGCTAACCCAGCAGCTAACTACACCTGGTACAAGCAGGATGGAACGTCAGACCCTCGTCTTCTCAGTGAAGAACCTCAGCTGGTCTTCAGCTCCATCCAGTCCTCTGACTCTGGAAATTATTCCTGTACAGCTGAGAACCAGCTGGGGAGGAAGACGTCTGACTTCATCTCTATCGATGTGAAATGTGAGTGAAACAACCTTTTTAAAAGCAACATAATCACTACTGAGGTAGTGTTTTGTTATCAACGTCTATTTATTGAACTCTAACTTGTAACAATATGTTGACACGTCTCCTCCAGATGGTCCACAGCGTCCCTCTGTGTCAGTGAGTCCCTCTGCTGAGATGCTGGAGGGTGATTCAGTGACTCTGACCTGTAGCGCTGATGCTAACCCAGCAGCTAACTACACCTGGTACAAGGAGCATGAAGACTCACCACGAGCATCAGGACAGATCTTCACCATCACTAACTTCACAGCTAAACACAGTGGGAATTATTACTGTGAAGCCCAGAACGAGATGGGACGTAGTAACTCCACCTTACTTCTGATTACTTCTTCAGGTAAATCACACTCATTCTTCTGTTCTCTCACACATTATATCAACATTCCAGCTAAAGAAGTGATTCACAGTAAACGCGGCCTTTAGCTCCTGTCCTCCACTCAGTGAAGCAGGAGAGCATTGTGGACTAGAAGGTGAACCTGAGCAGATACACTATGACCCCACTGAGAATCAAACCCTGGACCCTCGGTTCATCACTTTAAAGCTTCACCAGCTGAGCGTCCTGCAGACATCACGTGGTCTGATGCTGCGTCGTCTCATCAAATGATGAAGTCAGAAGTGGAAGGAACAAGAAGAGTCACGTTAGAAGAGCTGAAGATGTTGATACCTGAACAGAGTCTGTAGCTGTAAGAATGCAGGAGCAGCTCAGTGAGAGAAACAAGTCTGGAACAAACACAATGCTGTTAGCAACACAACAGTTAGCTACCATGCTAACTAGTCAGCTTTGAGTATTATAGTATTTTTGGGGGTTTGGATTGTTTCTCCAAAACGTCTCCTGATCGAGTGTGTTTAGTTTGTGTAGCAGTAAACACTCTACAGTTGCCATGGCAACAGGACACAATAAAATGGCCGCCGCTGTGACCATCCAGCTACGTTGTTTTTATAAGACGTTCTACTCATATTTATTTTGAGTTAAAGTTCATCATCTGCATAGAGCAGATCTTAAGATCCTAGATATTCTGTTTCACTGAGTTAAACATCTTATTTCCGTCCTGTTGGTAATTAATTCATCCTCCACCCTCCATATTTAGTACTTTATATTTGTTGTTTATTTTCTTTCCTGTGTAGGAAAAGGAGCCTCCAATGGTTGGATAGCAGCGTTTGCGTCCACATCTGCTATTTTCCTGGTGATCATCATGATCCTCACTGTCCTCATGATCAGGTGAGCAGTTCAACTTCACTGATGAAATGTAGATGTGGATCTTACATTCACGCAGTCGTGGAATCACTTGATTCGATCTTTTGTTTGTTCATTAATTTATTTTTCTGTCCAGAAGAAAAAAGTCTCCACCAAGCAGCCGGCCTGCAGAGAGACCAGAGAACCACGCTCAGGTGAGGAGGACGAGCTCAGTGTGGAGGCCTCTGGGAACATCTGGGAACATCTGGGATCATCATGTCAGGCCTGTGAGGCAGGGATTTAAAAGCCAACAATTAAAATATAATACAAATTCATATAAATTAGGAAATAAAAGTTACCAGCAACACTGGGAGTTCAACTCCAGGTAAAAACCGGCCCACTGGGAGGTTTTGTCAGGTCCCTCTAGTTCAGCCCACTCCTACGTCCTGGTTCTTCTTCAAACCATCTAGACACCACCTGTCGCTCCCACACGATGACAGTTTGTAGATGGAACTTCATTAACCTCAATGACCTTAAT